GGGCTCCTGGCATCTCTACTAGGAGCATTCTTACTACTAGTAACAAGAAGCTACTAGTGCAACGACCGGCACCTCCGGAGCACCAGGGCCGCACTTCCTTCACCGCGCACCTCAGCCGAGCGACTAGGAACTATTGGCGGGCAAAGAAGTAAGCCATACTTCTTGTTTCTAATAGCTTCTTGCTCCTAGTAGTAGGGCCAGGAGCCGTTAGTAGCGTCCTTGTTCCTAGTAGCGATGGCCTTTGCTCCTAGTAGCTTCCTCTACCCCTTCCCTCAGTATCCTCAACATACAATGTGAGGTCCAGTCATGCCAAAGAATCACCAAACCATCCTTCAGTCCAACTATTTTGATCGGCTGGATCCACTCATTGTCCTGACAGCCTTGGCCTCCTTGCAAAACCGTCCGCATTGTCATGGAAGGAGAAACACCTGTCATAGCTCCACAGCGCATTGTTCTGATCAGAGTAGCTGACCCCTGAAACAATCTGCCTAAGACTGTCAGCTCATGAGCGATCAACGCCTGCCCTTCCGGCTCAGCAAGCCACGCAGGCTGAAGTTCACGAAGCCTTGAACGGGAGCTGGCTAAGCAAACAGGGCCGCAGCCCAGAGCTGCCAATTCTTGATTGAACAGGTTCGGAAAACCAGACCATATGAGACCCATGTTCATCCAAGTGCAATACAGTATTTGAAGTGGCTGATTTCCTGAGCCCTTTTTTTCTAGCGCCAAGCAAGGAGTTTGCCGGAGCGCGGCACAACAAGCGTTCCCTTGCTCGGGTTCAAAAAATTGACATAGTATGAGGTGACACGAAGTTCGGGGAAAGGCATTTGTCCTTTGCAGTGTAAATACTGTGTAAGCCCGTAGGCTGATGGGGCCTTCTTTTCAGAGAATGATTGAGTCTTGTTTTCCTCAAAAAGGATATGTTCAGTTCAAGGCGGCATTTTGGAGCATTCGTATGTCTTGGAGGCTTGGCTCTTGGGACGGGCTGCGCCCGAGACAATGGAAAGTTTTTTTCACCGTTTCAGTTAGCCAGTCCACTCTCGGCCTCCCTTGCCTTCGATATGGTGGTTTTCGTGGGATGCAAGTTTGGTTTTCAGAAATGACCTGTCGGAGAGGATCGTTTGCATCTGCTCGGAGAATGTGGCCTAATAGACTTATCTTCCTCTGCCTCCAAAAGTCTGAGAGTTTTTGAACATACACTCCATGCGTGTTTGTTTTTTTGCGGTACGACTTGGTTGGTTTGCGCTCTATCTATGAAGGTGGATGGTATTTTGAGAATTCGTCTCAGTCCCTTCATCTGAAAAGCATCTAGTTTGTTTAGATCATTTTGAGTGAGTTGGATCACTTCCAGGCTGTACATGTGTTGATTGTATGATTGCTTTGAACACACACAGTTTCCTAATTGTGGTATTCGCCTTGTCCCAGAAGATCTTGAGTTGTCTGAAAGTTTTCATGGTCATGGCAATTCTGTTGTTCATTTCTGCTGTGTTACTCACCGTATCTGTCAATAATGATCCTAAGTATATTGCACGACTGTCTCGTGGGACCTTAGTTCCATCTAGATATTTAAATGTTGACGTCTTTCTGTTCGTTGTCACTTTCTGTAGTTGAGTTTCATGTTGTAGTAGGAGGATTCCACTTCTACTTCTACGCTGATTTTCTGAACATACAGACTTCCAATTCCTAGTTTACCGTGCCATCCGCTGTCCGTTCTGCGAAACTTCAAGTTCGTGTTATCCACTAAGCTTCAGGATAAGTCCAAATAGGCAATGAGTAATTAATACAAAGCAACCTCGCTGGTGCTGTGAGCTGGCTGTGCACCTGGTGGAGACAGGTTGCTGGCGCCGGTGCTGGTGCTGGGTGCCGGGCGCCGGCGCTGGTGCTGGTGGTGCCGGGTGCCGGTGCTGGTGCTGGTGCTGTGAGCTGGCTGCGCACGTGGTGGAGACAGGTTGCTGGTGCGCTGGGTGCCGGGTGCCGGGAGAGAAAGGGAGAGAAGAGAAAAAGAAAAAGGCATATTTTCCCAGCTACGAACAGTCGTCCAGGGACACACCAAAGAAGGAAAGGGGTGATCCTGAGTATTCCATTCAGGAAAGCCAGAAAGAAAGGGGGAGGGAAGGGGGAGGAGGGGGGACTAAGCTCTCGACAGGTTCCAATGAACCTTGAACAAACTTCGGTCGCTGCGACCACGTACGGCATGCCCGAGAGCGGCCACCTCTGACCGCTGCGGTCACGTAAAGGCATGAGCCAGCTTGGAATTCCAAAGATGAAACAAAAGTCTGAGTTCTTTCGGCCTAGGCCACCTACGCTTGCTGCGAGCTGCTCTGTATCCGGGCAGGGGATACGTTCGACAGACACCCGTTCGACGGGTCCACGGGAGGCACTCTACGGGCTCATCCCGGACTCACTGGGAGAGACGGGTACCATTTCGTAAGAATACAAGTAAGAACCACTGGGGCCTCGGGGTCTTCAAGAGGAAGTGGGGCCCAAGTCTCAAGTCCGAAGGCGGCGATCAGGGCGATATGACGACGTACTCACACGTCTGCAGATGCGTTAGCACTTTACCAAAGGATTAAGATTCGCAAGTATGTCCAGCAAGACTCAAAACACGAAACGCGAGTAGCGATTAGTAACAGAACCACATGAACCACCATGAAAGCAAACCACAGCGAGAACAACAGGTAAACAGTTTGGCAGGTACGTTTACACGGGCCCCAGAGGAGGTCTTCGTTGGCCACCGCTCCTCTGGGGCCCCGGTGGCCCCCTGCTGAAGTAAAGAGAAACAATTCAACGGAATCCCTGTGACTACAAGGGGCACACACACACACAATAGTCGCGCTGGATATTGCTTGGCCTTGGGCTACGGGCTTTGCCCTTTGTTCGCATACTTTTGCGCGCGTAAACTTGTACGCGCAAGATCATACTGGCCTTATCGTTCTACAGATCGTTGCTTCAAGCATGCTACATAAAATCAACAGTGGCGCTGGATACTGCTTGGCCTTGGGCCAATGACACTTACGGGCTTTGCTGTTTGCGCGCATACTTTTGCGCGCATAATCTTTTGCGCGCAAGATCATACGTTGTTATTCCCTGCTGTGCGTGTGGTGGAGACTGGGTGCCAGTGCTGGGTGCTGTCAGCTGGCTGTGCGCGGGGTGGAAACAGGGTGCCGGGTGCTGGCTGTGCGCGTGTGGTGCTGTGAGCTGGCGTGCCGGTGCTGGGTGCTGGTGCTGGCTGTGCGCGTGGCGGACAGGGTGCCGCCGGGTTGCTGGTGCTCGTTGTGTGCGTGGTGCTGGTGCCGGGTGCTGGCGCTGGCTGTGCGCGTAGTGGAGACACGTCACGCTGTATTGCATGTAAAAATTGGAGCTGCTGCCAATGCAGGGTGCAGCCCAGAAAAATCTTTTGCATCGGCATGCTTTTGCTATCTGGGGTCTATGCTGGAGTAATTTGCTATTGTATGCTTTTTGCCTTTCCTTCGGCAGAATCTACTCATGGTGTTAGGCCAGGTGAAACATCCCGCGTTCTGACACTGGGGCAGTGGCAAGCCGGCGACACATTCCAGAAGCTGCTAAGCACTAGCCTCAGCAACGAACTTGCCACGAGCAACAAGCAGGTCTGACTGAATTCAAACCTGCTGTCCGGTCTGTTATTGCAATCCAGACTGCTTCTGCACAGGGTCAAGTGCAGTTCTATATATATATATACTTCCTGAAAAATCATTGAGCCATGAGCCACTTGCGAAGACAATGAGTTCACCTCTTACTCCACATGTTGCATCACTCAGACCACTGACGAGAAGGGTGCACTTCGCCCAGCTTCCGGTGGCTCATCCTGTAGCTGGGCAGCATACGATCACGACGATCACCTCATCGAGCAGCCATACCTTTCAGCAACCTCGTGCAGGAAACACTAGCTACCAGCGCCACATTTCCGCCTGTCCTGCTCAGCAGATTGCTCCATGTGAGCCTCAGCATGGAAAGGGAACCTTGGCATTTTCCAAGGCTCGGAAAGGTTCCTGTCACCCTTTACCTACATCAATCTGTGTCACTTCTTACCCTTCCCTGGCTTGTAGCGTCTAAGTACTAGCAGTAGCAGTACGAGGAGGAATCGGGGAAGGAGGAGGAGGAGGAGGTTTTTGCAAATGTCTTTGTTGGTCAATTAGTTCAACTATGTTACCTGTCAGATGGGGTGGGGATGGATTGCGTGGCTGAGTGAAGGAGTACCAGAACAACTCTAGGCTTTAAATATCTTAAAACATCACCCTCTTTCCTGAAACCCAAATTCAAGAATGTTCAAGGTGTTTCTCATTGCCCACCCGCTGGAGCGTCTTCCAAAGAGCGAGATCGTCTACAATCCCTCTCTTTGACCACCTTCAGTATTGGGGGCCATCGCTAGTAGGTTGGAGGCCGTCGCTGGTAGGTTGGAGGCCATCACTCTTATATGGAGGCCATCGCTAGTAGATTCGGAGGCCAGCGATCTCAGGTTGGAGGCCATCGCTAGTAGGTTGGAGACCAGGAGGCCATCGCTCTTAGGTTTGAGGCCACCGCTAGTAGGTTGGAAGCCATCTTAGGATTGAGGCCATTGCAAGTAGGTTGGAGGCCATCTCTAGTAGGTTGGAGGCCGTCGTCTTCAATCCCTCTCTTTGAGATCCGTCCTTTTCTCTCCGGATCTTCGCCACTCGATGAGACCCAAAGGGTGTCGCCCCTGTTCAGTTTGGTCCACCGTAGTTTGCGGTGACTCATTCGACTCACACGAGTCTTGGCGCACGCTGAGTCGTGTCTTTGGGTGCTTTTGTTATGTCCAGAGATATCAGGCAGAAATCTTGTTGACTGTCAATTTGCAACATCCACAATCTTGCTAAAAATGGGGGAATGGGGGAGACATTCATTATGTTGCATCAGCAAGAAACTCCAAGAAGGTTTCTACCAAACAATACAACCAACTGTCGGAGGTTAATCACTACTCTAGATTCTAGATTGGTGTTTCACATTTGGTTCATCTCACCATCTCACTGCTGTTCCTTGAGCTTTGCAATCTTTTCCTTAGCAGCTCGCCGCAGCTGTCTGTCTGAAAACATCTTGCATTCTTTACATGTTTCTTTGTTGCAAATGCAAAACAGGCAAAACCGCCACAACGTCAACTAGCAAAATCTGCATGCCGAGGTGCTGCGGTGTCATCCAACTCCTTGACCAATGGCTCCAAGGTGTCGTCGGGCATCCATGTGATCCCTGACTCCTTGATGATCACCACCTTTTTGTGGCTCGATGCGGCGCCGAGAATTGGGTGATTAAGGAGGCCGAGAGAGCATAGCGTCATAGCTATGGAGGCCTCCATGGCCCATGCTGCCATATCAGTGCATCTTCCATAACAAGTACAAAAGCAAGGGCCTCGCAACAAAGGCAAGCATTGACAGAACTCACCTTTTTTCAATCATCGCTCCCGAATGATGAAAAGGACATAGACTGGGTTTAAATCACCTGCGGCCTGTTTGCCCTTCTCAAGACACCCCGTTGTCACCTCGATGTTCCCATCCCTCGTTCCCATCTCGGCACCTCGATGTTCTTCCCAGAGGCCTCAGTGACCTCCAAGAGACCCTTCAGTGCCAGCTTCACCGTGGCATCCTGCAGCTTCTGCGTGCGCCAAGAGTGCGTCAAGCGGAGGTGAAGGCAAAAGTGACAGGAAAGGAAGGTCAGAGTGCAAAAAAACAAAAGAAAACAAGTTGTGCGGTTGAAGACTCCATGACAACTACCAACCCCTGTATATGTATGTGTATATATATATATATATATCTGAAGTTGTATGTTTGCTGTTTGCAAATGTAAACCCCTCCATGACATGCATCGTTCCAAGTGCCTAGGGAAGCAGGTTTCACCAAGAGAGCTTCGCGCAAACAGGTCAACACGGTTGCTCGCACAGCGTCCTCGTCTAAATCTTCCTTGTACCTTCGAAGTCAACCACCCAACACACGACGAACATCAGGAACCTACGGCCTTTAGGTATGGTGGTTTAGACATATTATCAACAAACAAGAGCACGGCGCTCTAGCCGCTAAGATGTGTCTTGCTTGCCATGCCGACCAGCGCCGAACCAAACATGGTCTTCTGGAAACCAAAAAGAACACCAACAAGAAGACCTCCAGGGACAAGATGATCAACTCTTCCCGCTATTGGGATGGCCCTCAGCAACACAAATCTATAGCAAATGTATAATGTCGATAGAAACTGTTGGCAACATGTTCTTTCCCTGATCATATTTAGCCTTAGGGTGTCTTATGTAGGTTGTTGCCACATCTGGCCAGGCCACTTCTTCTCCAAAAAGTCCGTCACACTCTTGGAGTTCTTGCCAATGGCTGTTGCCTCACTTGTTCGTTGGGAACATTTGGCTTGTTCAGGCGCCCAAAACGCACCAGCATATGTTTAGGCTTGACTTAGAGGGTTAATCTGACAGGACTGGCGCCGTAAAGAGACAAGCAAGTACTGCCAAGAATAAGTTGAGTTGAATTGACCTCCTGTAGAAAACTATCTCAGCTCGTGCATTGCAAGCATCAAAGCAACCAGGTCAGGACCGTACCCAACAAAACTTTGCCGCTTTGGTTGAAATAACGTCTTCCGTCCAACCCAGCTGAACACCCAATGCTCAAACGACCAAACTCTTGGAAACCTTATCCAAGCCCAGCCTTCCAAGCGTAGTAGGTTCCCGCTGGGTCTGTCTGGAACCTTTGGCCGGCAGGCAACAGCTGGAAGCTTGAAGATCTAGATGACTGGTGTCCAAGAATGCATGATACCCCCAAAGCTCTTGGCAAAGAGAGTGTTTGACCGGGTTGTCGGGTTGTCAGTATGCTGGGGTTCCATGCAAGGCAGGCTGGCCCTTCGAGTCGAAGCCACCCAACAGAGTAGAGATGCCGAAGGGGCGAACACCACCTGATGCCGATCGCCGGTGGTCGAGAACGGAGGCGTCTTTGGGGCAGACGACGCTCTCAAGCAGTCCACACCCAAGGGGACCATACTAGTGGAACTGCATGAATCAACCCATCCAATGCTATCTTGCATTCTGCGGATTTGGGGAATGTTCTGCATTCTGTAGACTGTTTGAAGGCATATGGAATCTTCTTCACAGGCAGGAGTTAAAGAGTTTGAACTTACCAAACCTTGGGTGTCATCATGATCTGCAAACGAACCTTTCTTCCCACACTCACAAAGCCTATTGACCGTATTATATAACTATCCCTGGAGTCAATGAGCAACAAAAACTGGCAGCAAAACGTGGATACTGTCAAGGTCCTGCACAAGCTTTCAGCATCCCATTTCACTTAATTCTTCCAACGAGGCCTCTGTGCGTGTACTTCTGCTGCGTTCTAGCGATGAACCTGCAGGAAAAATGCAATGGCAAGTGATATGGTTGGTTCAAATACACCGCACTCAAAAAAAGAAGCACTTCAAACAATTGACAAAAGGTTAAGTAGCTCGCAAAAAATAAAAAGAATTGTCAGTCGTGCAGCAAAAGATCAAAGGGCTTGCACCGGCACCTGCACCCACCACCGGCACCTGCACCCACCAACCGGCAGCAGCACCGACACCCTGTCTCGAGAGCGCGCACAGCCAGCAGCAACATCAGCACCTGACCAGCACCGCCGCCTCAAAAGTGCGCACAGCCAACGCACAACATCAGCACCAACACCCTGTCTCCAAAGTGTGCACGGCCAGCTGACAGCACCTGCGCCTGCACCTAGCACCGGCACAAGCACCGACGCGCTGTCTCCAAAGTGCGCACAGTAAGTATATAACTTGAAGTAAGAACCCCATAGCTATCGCTATCTGGGGAAAAAGTTGTAGTTCCCAAGAAGTTCTTGCAACCTCGAGTTCAAGTTCAAAACCTGGAATTCTGGATTGGAAGGTGAACAAAAGTGAAGGATCTCAAACTCCACGATGTGTATTTCCTGTCCCTCTCTCCTCATTCACCCGGCACCCCAGCTGCAGGGGTGGCCTAGCCACGTAATCCACAGTGGGTGCGTCCTGTCAAGTAGTCATCAAGGCCGCCCCTGTGTCTTCATATTGATATACCAAAGAAAGCACGCGTGAGTCTGAATCAGACAGCATTCTGGTCATACCACTATAGGAGCAAGAAGCTACTAGTAGCTCCTGGCACCTCTACTAGTAACATACGGCATCTCTACTAGGAGCAAGGACGCTACTAGGAGCAAGAAGCTACTATAAGATTCTTTTTCTTGGTCCACTAAGACTCAATCTTGGATCCACTAAGCCTCCCTGAACAACGGACTGACCCTTTTTGGCAAGCCATGTCTGTGCCAAATGATGACTCCCCACCAATTGGGTCTAATCTGTCTGACTGTCTATTGAAGGTATTCCAAGTCTATTCTGCTGTATTCCAACTGGCCTAGACCGTATCGTCCCGGTACCCAAACACAACGGAAGGCACACGAAGATACCCAGACCGAGCTGCCTTTTTTCTACAAGTTGTCCAGCCCCACAGATTTCGAAGGGCTTGACCACGCCAAATGCACCAACAGCTGGTGAAAGGTGTCTGCTTAAAATAGAAGACTCCTCGCAACCACTACATGTCCAAAGCAATGAATTTGTGGGTGCCACATCGAGTCATCCCCGGACCTTCGCACATTGCTATGTGCTCGTCTGGGTCGTATTCACTTCTGTCTGCGGGTTTGTCCCGCTACGCAACAGTCGGAAACTGTGTGTCACAGAGGAACTTTGCCTCCTCTTTCAGGGTCCAACCAATCCACTCCAGCGCCTGCGGTGAACAGCTTCCATCAGAACAGAGAGCCGGGACAAGGGTTACACCAGGCACACCACCTGAAAGAAATCTGAGGGAAGTATGCAGGGAAATAGAACAAAGGAGTTTGTAGCTGTCAAGCACCAACAGTGACTAACGACAGACTTATACCCTTGCTTTTGGGAGCAGAAAAGGCGTTAATCATGACGTCATCAGCACGTCGTCTTCGAGTGCTGTTCTTTCTGGTGACTTCCAAGACCAAAGGCCTGTCGCTCGTCTAGAGAAGAAGTCTAGACGAGGAAAAGAAACAAGGTAAGGGCCCCTTTGGATAAGGCGCCTTGCGCCTTAAAAAAGGCGCTGTTATAGGAGTCCTTACCTCCTTTTTGCCTTCTATTTAGACCTGTCGCTATTCTGATATTCTAATTCACTTCCTTTCTTTCTTCCCGCCTCCCGGCTCTCCCCACGTCGCCTTCAGCACCTTCTGCTGGGCGCTCCTTGGCAGCTGCGCCTGCTGCAGCCGTGCCTCCGCCTCGACGCCCGTTAACGCATGCTCCTCGCAAGCTAAGAAGTGAGACTGAAGGAATGTTAGACCAACTTCGGAAAGAAATATGCACAAATATGGTAATAATACTAACAATAATAACAAAGCCACGAAACCTCTATAAAACTTCCTGGTTCGGGCCGATCTAAGTACAGCACCAATTGAGCTGCATCTGCCAAATCTTTTGATGTTTCTGGTATTATATAATATACATGGGGAAATTGTTAATGACTTTGATGAATGGGAGCTTCGGTCTGGGCAACAAGTAAAGGAGCGCACCTAAGTGCAAGTGCTAAAATGTCTTTCCCCTATTCCTGCAACCTTTGTCTTTGTCTTCAAATCCTCGCGAGCGCCTCAAGGTTTTGCTTGGCTGTTTGTTTCAACATCCGTTTCACTGGGCGAGTCTGGGAGACTCATAGAAGCAAAGGACGATGTAATGCAAATGCAGTTTTCCGGTCTCCTTGCGCGCCACCACCCACCAGCCAAGGACTTCATGCCCCGAGACCTGCAACTCTGTGACGTCCTTGCTCTGCTCAAAGAGCGTCTTGCGAGGAAAGACAATGACCTGATGTCAGTGTGCAAGGTGAAAGGGCTTTCTCTGATAAGAAAATGGAGGGAGAACGGTATCCAACCAACCACACAAGAAAAGATTGAGTCTTGAGTTCAGTCATCAAGTTGAACCCCAAATACCTGCGTTGAACCCTCAACGCTTGAGTCCACGCGCATTCCTACATCATGCATGCCTTTGGCCAGGGCAAAGCGAAACTTCCATGAACCCAAAACGAACTGGACCTGGAGTTGGTCTAAGACGTCCGCCACGCAAGTCTGGCACAAGTTGGCATGAGCCATATGGTTTATTTGTTATTCGTTGTATCTTCTTGGAATAGAAGGCATGTTGGGGGAGCTGTTAAAGATGATGAATCTAGTAACAAGGGCATTACTACTGGTTATAGTAGCTAGAAGCTACTAGTAGCAAGTGCATCGCTACTAGTAGCAACAAGCTACTAGTACTACTAAGTACTACTAGTTATAGTTAATGAATCTATACCTGGCAAGCGCAGTCGCCAGTTCCACCGTGTGAGCCTGTCGGTGGGACATCCGAATAATCACATTGTGTGCCAGATCCAACACCTGCGGCACGCACACGCATCCACGAGGGAAGCGGCATCAAACGCTCGTGTCAAACAACTCCTTTTCTGAGTATCGATGTGATTTCTTGAAATAATCGGTTGAACACCACCATGGCTCACAAGAACACGCCAAGAGAGCTCTATATGACAAATTGACCACATTGGATTGTGTGTGTGAGCCATTGTGAGCCCGCGTTAGGTTGATTAGCCCTCATCGCCGTCGCCTGGAGAGTTTTCACGAAGGCATGGACGAACTCCGCCAGCCGCCGCTCAGCCAAAGTGCTGTCGATCTCCAAGGCCCGATTGTCCGTCCACTCGAAGACCTGAGCTGAGCGTTCAATGGTTCGTGGCAAACGTTACTGATAGAGTTTCACCCTTGACAGGCAGCCAAGGGGTATTCATCCAGATCTTCTCCCTCCCATCTTCTCTTCCAGGCCACCCATCCACAGAGTGGCCATTGGCGCGGAGTCCGCCATAAGGACACCGGGCCACGACTGGTGGCCGCTGGAAGGAGTGCGGGGAAGTCCAGGTATCGTTCCAAGGGAAAGTCCATCGGCTCGGTCCCAAAACCCGCCATGAAGCCTGCAGCGCATGCAGCGCATGCAGCGCACAGTGGCTTGCAGCACGGTGACTCCGTCCACGTCCACACGGAGTGATGTGTGGCATCGGACTGACAAAAACGAAGAAACTGAACTGCTCCAACCCAACATCAGGCCTTTCCCAAACCAGAACTCAATCACGTGTGTGTGTGTGTGT